TAGCAACTCATTTATTCATTGCAAATCTATCACAATTTATCAAATTATTGATCACAACTTATTTTATAGTCACAAATCAAGAATTTTATAGGTATTTCTCAATCATAAATAGAAAATTTTATATATCACGGCTTATTCATTGATCACAAAATCAACATTTTTATTGGTCACAACTCGATTACAACTTAATAAATTGTGGTCAGGTAACAATTTTTAGGTCATATATTATGCATCGTTGACAAATCTAAAATTTTATTGGTCACAACTCATTTATTTTATTAGTGACATTCTCAAATTAATTAGTCAGACATTATTTTTGGTAACAAATCACATATTTTATAGGTCACAACTTATTAAAATAATAGGCCACGTATTATTTTTCGGTAACAAGTCTCAAATTTTTTACTGGTCACAAATTATTTTTTAGTCACAAATTATCGAATTTTAAGGTCACAGTTTAACAATATGTCACATCAATAACTTTTTCTTCTTATTGGTCACATATTAAAATTTTTTATAGATCACAAATTATTTCTCGGCTACGAATTAAATTTTTTTATAGATCACAGATTGGAAAAATCAAAGTAACAACTCGATTACAGTGAGTCACAATCACAATTTTAATTGGTCACACTCGATTACACGCACAAAATAATCACAGTCACCTCCAACCCCATATCGCCGGCACGCCCAACACCAACCGTCGTACGCACACACAAAATAATCACGACCACCAATAATCACAGTCACCGATACAGGTTTATACAACATCGCTTAATTATTTGACACATGGTAGGTTATTTCATCTTCTAAACCATAAAATGACTCAAATAATTAATAAGAATAAAGAAAGAAATTGAAATTACAAAATCCCCAAATTTAGTAAAATTTAAAAAGAATGAAGCAAATCGTATGGCTAACAAATATGAAATTAATTTGGGGGACACCTTTGGGATCTGAAATTGGGTAGGGTTCCAAAGCCAAGAAGGGGGTAATCCCATCAATTAGCAGTTTAGAAGCAAGGTGTTGGTTATACAATTCCGTTCGCTGCTTGACTTGTTTGATAATCTCATTTTTCCGCTCGAAGATCTGCACAAACAGCTTCTCCACCGTCGTCATTTCTTCTTCGTCACACTGCCCTAAATCTGATTATTATTGTTATTAAAATTATAGAGAAAGCAGACGTACGAGTGTGTGTGTGTGTGACCATTGGGTGAATGGTGATGAGCACGGAGAGGTGGTGCCAGCAATGGTTGTATCGGCAGTGTGGACTGTGTGGTGGCGCCGTGGATAGAGAGATATGGGAGAAAATGGGATGAAATAATTATTGTGAGGTTTGGGTAATTATATTATGTAAT